CCCCAAAACCCCAAAACCCCAAAACCCCAAAACCCCGGGGTTTACCGACATAATGGAACTTAAATTATATTTTAAAATAATTTTACCATGAATAGTTCATTCGAGGGTCAAATTTTAAACAAAGGTATGCTGAGTTAATATCTCTTGATTGGGGGAAGTCAAGAAACTTAGATATACAGCTTTTAACATCAAGTTTTACTCTAAATTTAGATTAAAAGAAAGGACTCTTATCAAGAAGAAACTTGAAAGGACACAGACAATGTAAATTCTTAGGTTTCTTGAATAAAAATGACTGAACTCATCAACAAGAAAGTTGGGAGCCCAAATTGCTTGCCATCAACCAACAAGAGGAGGAAATTGCATCCTAATCTAGAGATGGAGAGATTGCCAAAGCTGACATCTTCCAGGAAGGAAGCTAGCATTCTCAGACATTCTGTGATCTATGATAGTCGTATGAACTCTCAAAGAAGCGATTATTTCGATTCGAACAAACTGTATGCCAGGAAATTGCACAAGTCTAAAACCAGAGGCGTCACCATATTTCCATTAATGTCGAGAATAGGAAATCATGGAAGAACTTATCCAAGTCGCGGGAGATCCTCAGAGCAATGAATCAGTATGAAGATGAGGTGTCTTTCTCAGATTTTATGCAGAACAAGTCTTTTGATAAATATTCGAATGCTTCCTCATCTTCATTTACTGATAAGTATAATTTCTCAGTCTAAAACCAGCTGGAGAAGTGGTCTGATAAGAGGGGCAGAGCGAGGAAGTACGCAGATGTCAATGCTGAGATGATTTTTAACAAAGTCAAGCACCAGATCGCTATCGCTCATAGCTACTCTGGAGATCAAGAACATATAAAAATTGATATTTGTAGTCAAGGAAGAGAAGGCTTAAGACAAAAGCCATCAGGACCATCGGATAATACTTTTGCATTCAGCTTTAAATATTTTTAACACTTGGAAAACCTTAATCTTGGGGTTTTGGGGTTTTGGGGTTTTGGGGTTTTGGGGTTTTGGGG